TGGCATCATAATCTCTCTTCGAGAAACATCGGTGGGACCTGGCCGGAGGTGGGGAACTGGGAGAAAGAGAGGAAATTGTGAATTTGACAGTATTGTGGTCAGAAGTGCTGGAAGGAGGAAGTACGCTGAGGTCTTTGATAAGTTCTGGTTTAGAGATCAGAATGACATCCAAAATATTGAGTCCATACGTTGGAACTTTGACCATTTGTGTGAGGTTGAAAAATTGTGAGAAGTGGAGGAAAGAAAGCGACGATGGTGTAGAATAGCCCCTCTGCGTGTCATACTGTCCCAGTCAAACAAGAGGAAGTTGAAGTCGCAAGAAATGGGAATAAGACCTTCCCATTCATCGAGGAGCTGATGCAGAAATGCAATGAACTCTGCGAAAACAGCTGTGGGACATGAAGGACTAAGGTAGGCAACTACAAAAGCAATTTTGTCGTCACAAATCTTGAATTCGAACACTAGTGCTTGTAAAAATTCACTGAAATCTTTTTTCGCAACGAGTTTGTGTGAAAGGTTCCTGTGAATAAGGGCAAGCACCCCCACCACCGGCCTTGTTGCCCAATTTGTTTCACCGGTATACTTCATATATACAATTAGAGCTCAGTATAGCGTCATTAATAGAATGCGTTTTACACCTGCTCTCAGTAATGGAAACTGATCGAGGTCCTTGCTCGAGAATGAAATTGAGATGTGCCAGTTTCTTGACCATCGAGCGGGCATTGAACAATAGACCCCCCCCCCCCCCCCCCCGCGCGTTCATCTAGGGACGAGCCAAGAGGAACGCGGGAGCTTTCGTCGACAGCAGAACTATTGTAGACCCTATTGTGCTTATAACACCAAACATCGAGGGATGGAGCAAATGCTGACCGAATTTAACAACGGACTTTGGAAGGATCGGCTTTCAAATGTACTTGGCGATGAAGGTTTTCATAAAAACGGATCGGTACCTGACGCTCCTTTCACGCTGAAAGGAACGTGCATTCCTGGATGCCTTAGCTACGTGTACTAGGCCGAGAAGTCAATATGATGAACGACGTGGCGCCGGAGCTGAGCAGAAGGGAACGCTGGGAGTGAGGGTGGGGGGCAGAGAAAGAACAAAGAACATCCACGAAGCAGCTAAGAAGACCGCTCACCTTTTCTACGCTTCCTTCTTTGACATGCGCTTCGGAGACTTGAACCCAACGAAGGCTGGAAGAGTATGCAGTCAGCATCATTCAACGCGCTCTGAAACGGACTATGCTCGGGATGAGATCCGAGCACCGACAGCGATAGAAGATCAAGGGTGCCATTGATTGCGTCAAGAAATCGAATATCAGGTGGGCCGGGCTCTTTATGCATACAGTGCTGACCGTTGGCTCACGACGGTTACGGACTAGATCCCCCGGGATGTCAAACGAACACCAGGATGGCTGCCAGCGCGATGGTCAGATTTTCATGGAAGCTCTGGGCGAAAGGATTGTTCTACTCGTGTAGTTTGAGCGATGACGATCCAATAGACTACTGTGGCTCGCGACAGGGATGAATGGAAACATCACTGGCGCGCGCGCTCGCGGAAATCGATGATCAGTGGGACGTCAGGCGATACAGGCGAACATTTCGGCTGAGGCTTTACAGGTAGACCTACACATCCTGATACATATCATGTCCAGATTTATCGAGAGTCATCTGCCCGCTGCCTCGTGTATTAGGGCTTCTCATAAGGCTCTTTTACATTCTTGGGGATAGTGATGACGGTAAATGATGCCAAGGTTTGCAGCACCTGTTGTCTTCTTATGATTTTGTATCTGGTTGACATGTCGCGCTCGGTCCATACAATGGGAGTGTTGAAAATTGACTCTGAAACGAAAATTTTATGAATAATAATATGAATAATGAATATGAATTTTAGCGTCCTTCGAAATGAATAATTTTGTAGGTTGTGGAAACTCAATATCTCGTTGGTGTTCACGACTCATGCAACCCTACTGGGACGCCATCTTTGTGCCGGTGGTGTCGACCTCTACAACAACCTTTCCAGGGTAGGTGTATCATCAGTATATGGAAAACGCGCATGCTGACTGTGCTTGCATCAGGGCTAGCACGACATATGTTGCAGGGCACACTACTGTAATTCGTGGTCCTTTTCAATTCATATGACGTATTAGAGACATAGTTTGCGATAAAAATCGTTCCTGACATTTCTTTTTTCTGTGAGGCTGTGCCCCAATGATAGCACAAGTAACGCTGTCGGACCTAAAAAAAAGTGCAGATAGGGCGTAATAAGGGGCCCAAGAACCGTCTTTATCGACATACATACCTGAGGCGGACGAGTCGTCACGGCCTTGTAGGGACTATAGAGGTTGCGCCATTCGCACCGGCATCCATACGTTGCATGCAGGCAGCTTATTGCGGCCTGCCATACGCAATGGCAAAAACAAGTGTACGGCTCGTCCAAATACCCCTCCCGTGCTACCTCGATGATCACATCCTTATCCAACCCCTAATTTTATTACTTTTTTGAAGCGTTGATTCTCACCAAATACGCCTTTGCCAAACTTTTTGCATTTTTGCCTTGAAGTGCCCCTCTAAACTATCACTTCCATTACTCGTCTACACTCCTCCAGAACTCAGTACCCCAGAATTATCGTGAACTGTGCCTTTAGTGACTTGTTCTAGCTATTCTAGCTTCGAAAGAGCTCTACTAGGTAGGCGAAAAAGTTCTGCGAATAGAAGCCGTTTTGAATTCATTTCTAAAGTTTTACAAGTCGGTCAAATTTTGGAAATATATTTACCAAGCAGATCAACTACATTCTCTATACTTTGGACAAAACACTGATGCCTTTTGTCCTGATGTCGATAAGCTCGGACTCAAGGAAATTGATCATTGACTGCCGTTTTCCACAGCATGTTAAGTTACGAACTTTTTCCCCACAAAAAGGCGCCTGAGAAGGCTGAGCACATGGTAACGACATGGGACAAAGTTACGAGAGTCTAACTGATAGCAACCTGGAATAAAACGAGTCAGGTTAAATTTCGACTGGTGCCTAGAGCAAAATTTCGACGTGAACTGTACTTCTGTAGCCAAGAATATGGTTTCGGACGTCTTTCTCTTACCGCGTTGACCAAATACTGAGGTCAGTGGGGACAAAGGACCTCTGTAACTATTTAGTCTGTCCTTAGCAACTCATAGTGGAAGGGTCTCTTTACGCTACAGGAAACTATGGTATGATGCTTGCGTTACTTCGAAGGGAGGGTCCTGCAGGCGATCCAACCGATAGCTGACCGTTGATTGGTGTTCAGTTCTGGGATCCAACAATTTGCTTAATGCAAGCCACTGCACCGCGTTCTTCCTTTGAATGCCTAGTAGAAGGAGGTGGTACGAATCGGGTGTTGTCCATTCGTTGGCGATAATGCTTCGGAAGCATACAGTACCGGTTAGTGAAGTATGCGTTTTCAATTTTTTAAACGTAACTTCCGCAAACTTCAACTTTTCCGCGGGAAACCTAAGCAGTATGTAGCCTAAACAGTAAGCCACATTATACTCATGCAGCAGTCTAGCAGCACACTTCCAACCGAAACTGGCGCCTAATCTTCAAAAAGCCCCCAATGGACACTTTCGCCTCCAGTCACTCGTGGATTTTTATGTGTTAGAAAGTTCGAGGTAATTCTCGCTCCTTTGTGTCACGTCATGCACTTAGTACATCTTTCAAGGCACTCGGGAATCTGTAAGTTACGGCAAGATCAAGTTGACGCCGTCGTTCGAAGCTTCCAGGGAGCCTTAACATCCAGGCGAGATTACGAAATTCAAGGCGTGCCAGCTATGTGCGTTCAAACGATTTGGAAGAAACGCAAGGCCACATTGTCGGCTAAAGTCAAAAGTCACGTCGGGCGTCAAGGCATCGAGATTGACGTTATGTCTTGTCGACACGAAAATAATGCAGCGTGCAGGGAATGGCTTGCGTCAAAATTTTTCGCGAAATCTCGAGGCCTGAGAGAAAATCCATCCGTAAACACTGTTCTACGTCTTCTGAAAGAGGCCGGCCTGTTTGGACGTCGTCCAGCAAAGAAGCCACTGATTTCTGCCAAGTATCACTAAGCGCTTCTCGATTGGGCTCATGGTCACGAAAACTGGGTAATCCAGCAGTGGCGTGAGGCCATCTAAAGTGAAAAGCCTAAGTTTTTGTTGTCCGGCAAGTATGAAACAAGTTTTGTGTGACGTCTAATCGGTACCAGATGCCATGCAAGTTACCAACTGACGACCATGAAATATGGCAGGAGTGCGGTGATGATTCAGGGCAGCTTCTGTCGCAAGGGAGTGTGCCCCCTCTGAAGTATTGAGGTTAAGATGGACACCAAGATATGCACTAACATTATGGGAAATGAGAATGTATGGGAGAACATCCCTCAGAAAGAGATCGGCAAATTCATCGAATCCATGCCTAGCCTTTTCAAGCGGTCATTGACTCCAAAGGCATGCTACGCAGCATTGATGTCTTGCTTCTTATATTTGCTCTTATGCGAGTTGTTGCGATGAGGAATGGAAAATTAAGACAGATTGAAGTTTCACTGGTGTTGTGGGGCCCAACCCTTTTTTTGGCAAAAGTCTTTCCAAAATATTCCACAATTAACTTGGGCGACTGAAAACTCGCTCACTGACAACATTCATTGATAGGCATTCACAATGGGGAAACCAGATGTAAATATGGTGTTTTAAAGCAGTTAGGTTGGAAAAGTGAAAACGCATACTTCACTGACCGTTACTGTACATGTGTGCCTTGTTTACTCATGTTTTGATTGAAAGAGAAATATCATAGTAGTTTATAACCCTTGCTACCGATATAACATTTTTAACGCTTAGAAATTTTTGTCGCAGAACTTTCTTGCCAACCCTTATTTAGCGTGATGTTCATCAGATAAGGCCGAAGTGTTTAAACATACTATTATGTTGATGCATGATTATTGCGGATTTTGATCGAAATTTTTTTCAAAAACGATAAAAATATTCTACAAGGAAATGTTCATATCCACCATCTACGTGAAGCACTCCTTCCCATTTGCTCGGCAGCCGGATTCCACAGGCAACGAAGTTTCGATTCTTGGAGGCGGTCCACGCCTTGACGTCGTCCATCAAGTCGTCCATTTTGTCGAAAGTTTTGTTCGCTAGCCAATTTTTCAACGGACGGTTGACGTGATAATCCATAGGAGTTTCTGTTGGTGGATAGCGTGAATGTGGAAACAGACTTCATTTCTTGTTCGACTTTGGCTGACTGTTCCATCGCCGAGAAGTTCGACGAGATAACTTTAGGACTCTACCACCCTCCAACTTTTCGCGAAGTAATGGAGCACAACGTGGCGTATATGAAGACCAGTCGGGCCGCCCGGCTAACGCCGGGCTTCTCTCCTTCTTATGGGTTCGCCCGGCTACGCCGGGCGCTCCTCCTTCCTGTAAGAAATTTGCTATGCGTAAATAACACTTCGGATTCTCCTTTTTCTGTGAAAGCTCTACACCCTCAGTATGAGCTCCGAATTGGGAGCGATTTTTTCTCTGTAAGCCATCCATGCTGTGTACGAAAGAACATCGCATAATATCACGATTGCGATTACTCAGAGAAAAAAGTATTCAGATACTTCAACGTGGCTGAGTCTACTATGTTAGCTACCATCAATGTTCCCAGCCGACTCCTTGCATCCTCAAGTTTCAACGGTCTGGGTCCGAATAAATAGTATTTATTCACGCCCCGCCCTTTAAGGCGGAGTTCAGTCTTGCAACCTTCTATCGATGTTGCTATCCTGCCTCCTGTAAACTTTCAAGTTTGGTCGCTCTAGGTCCATTTTGACATTTCTCAGCAAGCCCCGCCCCCTGAAGGAGTTTGAATTTCTGGCCAAACTGTGGGTGGAGTCCCGTCCTGCCACCCACCATAAAAGTTGCCATCCTGCCGCCTGTACTCCTACCCAATTTGAAGATTCTAGGTCCAAGTTTGTGTTCTTCACACAAACCCCGCCCCCTGTGGGTGTAGTCCAGCCCCGCCACCTACGATTAGTGTTCCTATCCTGCCGCAGTACCCCTCCAAGTTTAAGCGCTTTAGGTCCACGGGGACAGAAGTTATGACTCTTCGCTCAAACATTTATTTCGCACAAACCCCGCTCCCTGTGGGCGGAGTTTGGCCCCACCATCCACCATGAATGTTCCCATCCCGCCGCCTGTGCTCTTGCCTAATTTGAACTTTCTAGGTGAACAGGGACAGGAATTATGAATTTCTGCCCAAACCCCGCCCATTGTGGGCGGAGCTCAATCCTGCCACCCATCGTAAGCGTTCCCATCCTATCTTGGGTACACTTACCAAATTTGGACGCTCTAGGTCCACGGAGACTACAGTTATGATTTTCCGCGCAAACCCCGCCCTTTGTGGGTGGAGTCCGGCCCCACCACCAACCATGATTGTTCCCATCCTGCCGCCTGTGCTCGTGCCTAATTTGAACTTTCTAGGCCCACAGGGACAGGAGTTATGCCTCTCCGCTCAAACATTTATTTCGCGCAAACCCCGCCCCCTGTAGGCGGAGTCCGGCTCCGCCACCCACCATTAGTGTTCCTATCCTGCCTTCTGTACCTCTACCAAGTTTGAGCGCTTTAGGTCCATGGGGACAGAAGTTATGCCTCTCCGCCCAAACCTTTATTTCGCACAAACCCCGCCCCCTGTGGGCGGAGTCCGGCCCCGCCACCTACCATTAGTGTTCCTATCCCGCCGCCTGTACCCCTACCAAATTTGAACTCTCCAGGTCGACGGGAACCCGAGTTATGAATTTCCGGTCAAACACACACACACACACAGACAAACCAACAGACACACTTAGCGCGTTATATATAGTAGGATGACTTTCTAGACATATTTCCGTTGACGAAGGAAAGAAGTTTATTTCCATTTAACCCCGAATTCAGTATTCATATTGTATCGAGAGAAAAGAAGCCGCGAAAAAACCCGCAATCATTATGCATCAAGTTATTACATAACATCCGATCCGTTTGAATTTTTTACGCGTCAGGACTTCTTTTGCTGTTCGATTTAAGATTGATGTTGATCGAGAAGCCGGTGAGCGACAGATCTACCACCGATACTGCATAGAGAGAGCTGCAGTACATCTTGCTCACGTTTTTACGACCGTCAGGTTGGTTGAAACTGTTTTCTGCCCGAAATCAATATTTTTTAAATTACATTCGTCCCATTCCTCTTGATAGCTTATTAATTACTGTTTACGTACGGCTTTCTATGAACCTCGGCATAATTATATTACTGATTTAACTGCTGGGAATTGCCTTTTCAGAGCCTGAAAGGATCATAACAATCCGACCAAACGTCCCACCAAAGTTCGAGACCCCCCGGGCACGCAGGTGGTCAAAAGGAGAACCGCCCACCGTAACTTTGTGGATTCTTCGAAACCACCCAGCAAGTGATGGCACCAACCTACCAGTGTCAGCTGGGGTACGTCCTCATTGAAGTCTCTGCGGGAAGGCCAACCTTATATAAAGCCGTAGCTCTCGCGTGATTGCGGGACATTCTACGATTCATTTTGGGATTGGTGACCTGTATAAAATGGCTCGAGGGTTCAATTGCGACTCCTGTGCTCCGACCTCCACGGTGACCTCAAAAACGCCTCCGTTATGCTTTTGAATTCGATGACTCCCTAAGGCAGTGGGCTCTTTCAATCGCCTCATACCATCTATGTGCTCCTTGTTCCTCACGTGGAGTGGTCTTGCCGTTTCTCCAATATACTCATCACCACAATCACGGCAAGTAATTCTGTAGACCACCCCAGACATGTTACAATCACCTTCCCTTCCAGCTGGACAAACCACACAGTTTGAGGTTGTACATAGGCGATCGTATAGCCTGTACCGAACCAGGCGCTTCTTTTGATTGAAGGGTGGTACATTTACAATAGAATTAAATTTTCCAAACCCCATCTCTTTAGACACTTTCTGATGGAGGTGCTGACCTCATCAGAAATGGTAGTACAAAAGGAGTCTTTCCTTCAATCGAGGCACTACCATGTCTGAGGATCACACCACCAGAAGAAGCTTTACGTGTAGTTGGAAAATTGTAGTAGCCATTCGACCACTATATCGCGTCCACTTTAAGCGACTCTTTTCGCTCATCCCCAGTGCAGGCTTTCCTAGCGGTTCGGAACATATTCCTAACAACCACTCGTTTTATGTAGGAAGGATGGCTGAGTGATAATTGGCAATGATGTTCTTATTGCTCGGCTTTCTGTACCACTTCGTATCAATAATATCACCCCGTAGCCTCACTTGAACGTTTAAGAAAGGAAGCCAATTTCTTGTCGGTTTTACTCGAGTTAACTTAATGTGCTCTGATTGTGTATTTAGTGGGTCGAAACACATATCTACTTCTTCCTGTGTCGCACAGACTAAAGCAATCATCGATATATCTGCAGTAAAGTAAGGGCAGATAAATCAATACAGGCGCTTCAATCTTGGCCATGAATGATATGGCCAAAATAGGCGCCAATCGCTGCCCAGTAGCCAAGCCTCCAGTCTGTGCGAAATACCTTTCCGACCACTTGAAAATGTTACAACTGAGGCGCTCCTTAACAGGTGTCATCAGTTGGGATATAAACAGTCCTCGCATGCCAATATCGTTCTGGTGCTGACTAAGAAGCTCGAATACGGCTTCCATAGCAGACCTATTGCTGACATTTGTATAGAGAGCTTCTACGTTAAAGGATTCCATAACGCACGAACCACTAGGGTGCAGTGCGAAAAGGCATCCAAAAACATTTGGGTGTTAGTGAGATGGGAAGGAATGGTTCTCAGGAGCTGCACTAGAATGGTATTAAGAAACCATGCGATCCGGTCAGTAGGACCACCCACGCAGCTTATTATGGGACATTATGGGACAGACTTTCATGGAAAAGGGTTTGACTGGAGTCAGGTCGTCTGCATCTGAAAACTTGTGCGTTTTTATGAGCAGATACGGGACTGGACAACAAGGCGACCCAAGTTTGAGGCGTGTTATAAAGGTTGTGCTTAATCCTGCCGACCGTGCTACTGAAACCTACATCCGATTACGTCTACGCAGCTTTGTTTTGAACTCTTCAAGGGAAGTGTCTCCCAGATGGTGCTCTGTTATTTCACAGTCAAGTTGTCTGGGAATTGCTACAAACTCTCCTCCCTTGTCACTGACAGATAACCTTATAGCTGGAGACTTTATTAGGTCTCGGAGTTCCCTGATACCACGTGCTTGCTCCCTTGTAATTTTGGATGTGATGTTTTGCTTTCGGAACCTACTTAGCACCTTGAAAACGTCGTCGGCAAAATCCGGAAATTGGCATCAGAATCCATGTGTGGTTCCTGTTGTTTGAAGAACGTGGCTGGGAAGGGGATGTTGAGCACGTTTCTTACTTGTTCTGCCACTAAGGAGCCATTGCCACACCTAGCCCTATAACGGAGTCGATCTTGAGGCTCGTGTAGACGCTCAGATAGTGGGAAGCCTCCCAACACAGTGATTCGAGACTTGGATGAACTCCGCTGACTATTCACGTCTTTATTATTTTCCGAAATCCGTTGTGCTACGATGCGCGATGACCCCCTTTAAAACCACATGTTGAACTGCAGAGGTCAGCGAACTTCCTTTGTAAGGCAGGTTTAACCTTAGATCGGATAGAATCATAAATTGATATAGATCCACTCGCTATCCTCCTCCAAAGGTGCTCCTCCAAGAACCGGGCACAGCAATGCTCCTTTGATACACATTTGTTTAGCAAAGAAAACATGATATCACGTTTTGCTCGAATTGTAATTCGAAGCAGTTTCATTTCGATGTCCAGCACCCTTGAGTCGCACCGTGGGCCGCCGTAAAGATCGCTCAACTTATTCTTTGAAATAAGTTTCGAAATCACGCTGTGATCCAAACAGCGGCGGACAAAAGTTTTCCTTGACGCGCTAAGACAATTTTCTGTCTCAGCGATAAGGATTCTTTCATGAGCCGTTCGTACTGAGTTGGCACGTCGCGTTAAGTTAAGTAAGTTAAGTAAGTTTCACGTACGGCTTTCTATGAACCTCGGCATAATTACATTACTGATTTAATTGCTGTCTTGAACTCTACACGAGGTTTGTAAATATTCTTTATTACGTACTGACGTTTCGGCGTAATCGCCTTCTTCAGAGCCTGAAAGAATCCTCGAGGCATTTTGGATACAGGTCACCGATCCCAAAGTGAATCGTAGGGGAGAATTTCTCGCAGTCACGCGAGAGCTACGGCCTTATATAAGGTCGGCCTTCCCGCAGAGACTTCAATGAGCACGTACCCCAGCTGACACTGGACCAAGTTACGGTGAATGGTTCTCCTTTCGACCACCTGCGTGCCCTGGGGTCTCGAACTTTGGTGGGTTGGTGGAGACGCTTGGTCGGATAGTCACAAATTGTAATGATCCTTTCATGCTCTGAAGAAGGCAAGTCCGCCGAAACGTCAGCCTAGTAAATAATATTTACAAACCTCGTGAAGATTTCAAGACAGCAATTGAATTACTGTTTCGTTTTACCATAGCTCAATATTTCTATGTTTCTATAGTTTTGCATCTGTTTAATGTATTTTTTGACGCTTATGGTTTAACATTTTCAACGTCTAGTGTTTTTAATGTTCAATTTTGAAAGTAGTGAAAGTTGAAGCGCAAGATTGATTTGTAGCCCAATTCGATTCAGTTGTGGGTTCTACACTCACTCAAGCCGCCTATGACCATGACGGTTTGGTTTCCACTCCGCCTCGTCTGTTTTGCCTTTTCTCGGCTGTATTTAGATTGGTGCTCTGTAAGCCCAGCGTCAATATTTCTTTCTGCAAGCCAACGTTCCACTCGTCATCTCTGCTAATCTTACAGTTTTATATTATTTTCTTTACCTCTATCGCAGTTTTCTTCTTAGGCAAATGTTTTGAAATATGGAGATTATTCATTCACGACAAACTGGTTTAGTCGTGCCTTCCCAGTCGTCGTCCGGTGTGATCCTGATCCTGATCGCTCGTCATGGCTTTAGTACTCAGACGTCTTAATCAGCTCAGAAGTCCTTGTTCACTGACATAGTTCGCTTCGAAATTTCACTTGAAATTTCGAAGGACGTTACGTCGGAAAGGAGCGATATAATTTCAATAGCCAAAAATTTTCACTTGCAGTAGGTTCGCTTCTGCAGCAAGGAATAGAAGTTTCTACGATATGTATCTGTAAATTTGGAATCCGAAATGTATCCATCGGAGCGGAACTAACTGGTTACAATCACTTGCATTTTTCCCTATTTCTGAAGACATGTTCGATCGAATCATGGGTGGTTGATGGCAACTACGATAAAAAAGAGTGTGTGTGAGGTTCGATCTCTTTTTTTGATTTCTGAATTGCCACGCAAAGGAAAAACATCCTCGATTCGTTTTAGGGACCATTGCGCCGTTCCTACTGCGATTGTCGCAGAACCGCGTCAGAGTTTATGCCAGTCATGATAGCATGTTACTAGTCGCTTGCTTTCGATAAAAGTGTGAGCGGTATCAATTCATAGTCGAATTTCGGTTCCAGAACGTCCAGGAAACTAAACTTTGATTGTGTCGATAAGGGAGATACTCATGTGATTCACACAAGATGCACAGTCAAACATGTACTATGTTAGGGAAGCTTCTCATTTGAGGGTGGATCAATTTAGCTCGTTGATACTATAGTTCAATCGAAGATTTTTCAGCGAGATAACTGGCCTCGAGGCAGAACATCTTCTCGGTCGTAAACCAGACATACTTACACCAAACGGGCTCAATGTGGTTAAATTCTCGGCGCTCCATGAGTTCCAGAATCTTCACGCATTGGCCAAAGAGAAAATCCACGACTTCATCCGGGGACATTTTTATGGGTGAGTTGCGTTAGCATTTTGCAGTATTTTTATCAGGACGCCGTAACAGTAATTTCATGTAAACGTGAAAGGAGTGCATAATAAATCTGTTTTTTTAGATTAATCACTAAAAAAGAAAGTAACCGATTCTGCTGATAGTAAAACCTAAGCCTATCCCTTTCTACATCTAGGGGTTGGAATTCTTGCAAGAGAATTTGAAAGTATTTAGTGAATTCTACTATTGCTAGAGGAAATAGCAGCACATTTTAGAAGATTTCTGTCGCCACCAGAAGGCCCGATTTGTTTCTTTCGCCTTCCTTACAGTAATCCCATAGCTCTTCTCCCATTAAACTTCCCGTTTTTTTACGAAACCCTAGACCATATGAGATCCCAATCTCAACATTTTAACACGTCGACGACAACGCGCGTTTGGGCATTTTTGGCGGCGTGGGACCGACGCAATATTTGCGGCCCCGTCGACCGCGAGATTTCGAAGCTTTAGAGTGAAAACTACCTCTAACTACATATCGCTACTTAGTAAATTAATTAATAAAATGAAAAGCACACAAAAATGCTCTGTGTAATAAATGTTCCGCTTTAAAAAAAGCTTATACAGACATGAAAATGGCTGGGAGAGAAGAAAACTCGGAAAATGCTTTACAACTCGGCCATCTTCTGACATAGAACTAGAACTTCTCAATGCTGTTGAAACTCAAATTCAATAGCTTGCTTCCAATGTTCTCATTTCACTTGCTTATTGATCTCAATAAAAGTGTCAATGTTTGAAGTAGGCTCATATTTGGTGAGGCTTGAAAAACCTGTGTGAAGATGAAGCATATCTGATCTTTTCAAGTTCCATTCTGTTAATAGCTTTGTTACTGCTTCATCTATAATATAAACACAAAAAACATGAATAAATCACACATGCGCAAAAAAATTGCGGAATGAGCGCGGGACACATGTGTCGAGCGCGGGACACATGTGTCCCGCGTTGTCCCACGTGGCCTGCGAAACGCGGGACATATATGTACCGCGCTGTCGTCAACGTGTTAATATCCTAATCACGATAATGGTGTTCCAGGTGTTTCCATAGAAGGGGCTCTGCAACTACCGGAAAAGTGGTATTCAATGGTGCGACATCAGAGCTATGGTGGATCCAGCGTTAACTTTAAACTAGGTTTCGATATTTTTGCTGAGTCACCAAAAATGGGTGCTGTTCAACCTCGTCATGATAAGATCATTACTCCTTTGCGATTCGCTAGTTTTGGGTGGCTTTCCCCATGCTCCATCAAATTCCAGTGTGTAGAGACCAAGTTAATGTTGTGGTTTCTTGGAATCACTTGAAACTAGTGGCATCTTTGACCTCACCAAATCGGTAACGTGACCTTCTTTTGATTTAACAGCTTTTGACACGTTGACGACGAGCCAATTTTTTCGTGTCTGTTCCGTGAGACGACACAGTTTCTTTCTTGGAAATTTGTTATTTCTTGAAAAAATGAGTGATTACATTCAAAAACATTTGAGATCCGCAAACCTTCCAGCAGTATTCAAATTTTGCCCAAGACTTGCGGCTACTCAGCGTAATTTCAAATTTGGCTGTGGTAAACTTGAATTAGGGGTGTATAAATAGGGTCTCTGAGAGTATTATTATCATTGCGATTATTTTTGTCATCATGAGTGTCCTGTATATTGAAATGGAAGACTCAACGAAATTTTTGACCACTGGCGGCTCGACAGCGACGATGATGCTGCAGGTGGTTTAGACGGCGACGATATGGCTTCTGCGGTTGATCCTGTCTTGTATTTGTATTATCAATCTTGGAATTAATTTAATAGGTGGCCGGTGCTATTTTGGACACTTATAAGCCTAAGTTGAAAATCTGCACAAAAACGGAACGAGCACACACACTTTAATCGAAGAATGCACCGTCGCGCAGCATTGCGCGACATCGTCCCATGAGACAGACTGGCTGTCGCGCCCATTGCGCGACATTGTCGTCAACGTGTAAACCTCGATTGAACATCATCCCGCAATGGCAGTGATAGTTTCAGAGTAACATCGTAAACAGTACGAATTTCATCAGCGGCTACTGTTCGCTTCATGAATGATTGGGCTTCATTGCAATTGAACCGCAAATCGCGAGCACTAACTCGCGGCGTCAATTAAATCTTTCTGAACTCGTGTAGCACACAAACACATAGCTCTTTTGTTTCGATGTTTTCATGAACTATTCCCATCGATGCGTTACTCTTGTTGAGTCTCTTGCGAGTAAGTTCTCATATGGAAGAGACGAAGGCCGGTGCCATTAAAAAGGTAATCATCCTTGCCTACTGGCCAACCCACTTTAGAGTGGACAATTGACAGGACAAAATGTTGTGAACCAATTTTCACATGTTCTAGGTGATGAGGCATTGTCAGCTCATGTTTTACATACGTAATGGAAAACACCTGCAGTTTGCTTCAGCCACCATATAAGTTGAAAAGTGAAATGTCCCGATGCTCCCTCTGACGCTCCATGTTCAAATTACCAACGAGAATAAAATACGTTCTTTTTTATCGCAGAAAAGTGCAAACGTATACCTGCAATATATACGTTTATATTTTGTTCCCTTAGTCCCTTATTGTTCACGGCATCGAGTGGGACGGCAACGCTGGTGAAACCGCAGAAGGTCCTTGAAGACGACGAGTTGTTCGAAACGTCGACCTAATAAAACGGTTTCACCATAACAAACCTGTACGGCAAAACAGTGTAAAAACATTATGTGACATGCCCAGGTTTCAAGAAGACCGAACATGGAAACTATACGTTTATATAGAATTTCAGCGCGAACTCCGCCACCGCGAGCGGACTAGTTCTACCACCTAGTGTTTCCGTTTTGCCCGCCTGTACACCTAGCAAATTTGAATGCCCTAGGTCCAAAGTGTCACTTTTCACAAGTTTTTCACAGAAGATGAATTTCCGCTCAAACATTTACTTCGCACAAACCCGCCCACCTCGGGTCTAGACTATTCCTGCCACCTACCATACGTGTTCGTATCCTGCCGCCTATGTTCGCACCAAATTTGGATGCTCTAGGTCCGAGAACAGGAGTGATAAATTTCCGGTCGGACACACACAAACTCAGTCACACAGACTAGCACACATATTAGTAGGGTGTAGAGCAAATGGAAAGCGTTCAAACTTCTGAAAAGCTTCTGAAACAAGTGTTCTACAAACCTTCCCAAAAACTAACTGTTTACAGAAACACTATTTACTCACCGAACGACCCTATAACTTTCAGAACGACCTTCCCAAAAACTAACCGTTTACAGAAACAATATTCACTCACTGAACAACCCTATAAGTTCCAGAACGGGGTAAACGATAATCGTGCTTCATTTGCTTTGTCATTCATTTTCCTTCACATTCTGCATATGACGAATGCACGTATGATATGTCGTGTATGTTCCTCATGAATTGCATCATCGAATCTTCGATACACGCTTCTAATGCAAGCGTTCATGCATTGCAAGTGTAGATCGCCATCTCAGTCCTGCTTTCAGGCCGCTTCTTATGTGGCTTTTGGCAGCCTCTACCGAGCGGTCCTACCCAATACAGCCCCACTAGAGGTTTCTCAAGTTTGAAGGGGGGGGGGGGGGGTNAAGGGGGGGGGGGGTTACTGTTCGGTGCATGGATACCCACGAGTATAATAGCTTGTCAGGCTTAGTCCTGTAGACTGGATTGGTTCCGGATCACTAGCCAGGCTGGCCGAGATAATGTTATATAGTGTGAAATATGCTAACATATCAAAATTTCGCGCGTTTGCTCCACGAAGAAAAAAGCTATGAACGAAAAGCGTAAAAGCGTCTGGCCGAAGACTTTTGAACGGCAGTGTATCCCCAGCCGCCCGGCTAACGCCGGGCTCCGTCGTGTTGAAATGGCCTCCCCGCCTGCACCTTTTTCAAATTTGGAGGCTTTGGTAGATGAGAACAGGAGTTATTCACTCCCGGCCAAACACAAACACTCAACGCGCGCCCCTTCCGCCATGAACAAACCTCCTTAGGTTCTAAGTGTTTGAGTAATTCAATTTATTTCCGACTTATTCAAACTTGGCTTCGAAATTGCGCTGAGTCTGAATTAACATTTTTTTGCCCACGCCTCGCCTCCTGTGAGCGGAGTGAAATCCTGCCGCCCAACATAGGGGCTCCCAACCTGCTGCCTGTTGTTCTATCGAATATGAGCGCTCTAGGTCCAAGTTAAAATTTTTCGCGCTAAACCCGCCTTATGTGGGTGGAGTCCGGTCTTACGACCCACCACAAGTGTTCCTGTCCTGCCGCCTGCACACCGTCAGCGCCTAGGTCTACGGGAACAGGAGCTTGTATTTCCACTCAAACATCACCCCTTGGCCCACTATGGGCAGAGTCCTGTTCTTTTTACCAAATTGTAGGTTTCTTGCAAATTCCGCCCACATTGGCGCACATTCCTCTCAGTGATAGGACTCGATTTGCCTACAGTTCCCAGGCTCAATGCATCATTTTCCCCGTTCTGCAGAACTTCGTGGAACCGAGTCGTAATGTCCCGTGGGTGACTCCGCCCACAATTGTGCATGCCCCGCCCATCAATGATGGTTGGCTTCATTTCTTCGCTGACCTCTATCCATTTTTTCCCGGTCTACAGGACGTCTTGATATCAACTTATGAATTTTCGTCGCGAACTCCGCCCACTTCGGTGCAAGCCCCGCCCACGTTTTGACCACATTCGCTCCATTGTCTCTAACTACTTTTTTTCCGTATCCTAAGACCTTTACGAACGAAGTAACACTCATTTTTGAAAAGCAGCCTTCACCTCATCGCGCGCTCTGCCTATTGTGGGCTGGCCTCCGCTGACATCATTTATGTTGGAGACACCGACAATGGTTCCCCCACATCAACTTTTTCCTGCTCTGTTGGCTTTCTCCAAACCGAGGTATAAACGTTTTCATAAAATATTGCATTTTTGGAGAACGCCCGCCCATTGGGGATCGCTCCCCCCAGTTCCAACTTAC